GTTTTTACAAAATCCTACATAAGTATCACTGAACTTTCACTTGTTGTAAATGTTCTGCAATTTTAGACGTTATAAAATTTCTTTCAGCAGAGGCCAAACAGTGAACTCTAAATTCTAGTAATTCCACTGTAAAGATTTTTTGTAGAGTAGACAGGATCTGTACCTCATTTGGGTGTTTTTGGTGTGATTGTGTTCTATGAAATGAGTAATTAAATTGGGAAGGTTTCATTGGCTTCCCAGACAACACTTCCTGGGCTTATTTCAATATGAAATGTGCTCTTTGGAATTTTTCACGAATAATCTGTTTCTTCTACTAACTTTGACTGCCACTGGTATTCTTCAGAGGATTTCTGATCTTTGTGTTAATTCGTGTTGGTAGTGATTATTTTATTGACCTTGGATTTGTCCAATTTTATCATTTCTCCCACATGAATTTTTCTTTATTGATGGATAAATCTGATCTATGTCTGAATACCAGGCTAAATCAAATTTGAAGCATCTCAGTCGTCCAAAATTTTCACATTTTCCCGGTCAAATTGGTGTCTACATGTATGAAACAAAGGGAAAGAGGAAAAAGCAGTGGGATAAGGATTTAAACTATTAATTAGTTGACAAACTTTTTAATGTCAGGTGTTTTACAACTCGAGGTTTACCTAATGATTTGCAAACTTTTAGCTGCATTTATACAATCCTCTTTAATCCACTTCACTAAATTCCTTTTTACCTGATAGCTGTGCACTAACAGTACATCTGTGTTTGCATCTCACCAGCATTATTATTTTATCGTCACGACTGTTGTTTGTCCCCCTTGAACCTACATCTAGCATGGATTATTTGTTGATTTATTTGTATGCAGCATTCATACTGTCTCTCGCAACACTACACTCACTCGCTCACTAAATCATAACTTTTTTTTCGATTAGATACAGATAATCCCATCAATGAATCATTTAATATAACTTTATCTTGTGTTCTTATCGATTGTACATTTCGTATGAATTTAGATGATGAACAAAACTCACTGACTATCTAATATTGCATCATTCCCTTGTAACAGAATACATTTTCTGATATAATTCTAATTTGCCTTTACTGGCTATTGTATTTATCATTAATAGATCGCGCATTGTAGAACCTGATGAAGAATTTACTGGAAACAGTTGTTCTCTCTAATTATTTTTGTTCTGAATAAATTATGCGGTATTTTTAAACTATGTAATATAAGTTTTTCAGTCCAAAATTATTAATTTTGAACAGTTTCGTTTCTTTCCTGTTCTTGAGTTTTCATTCGCTGTGAGCGGAAAGTCCATTAAATGTGCTGAAGCTCGAATAAAACGCTTCATATTTGCATAAAAAGTCAATATATCCATACTTAGGTGAACTCTGAAAGGCGAAAATTTTATCTGTCTTTTTTGAAAAACATTTAAACATTCTGCTGATGAAGAGTCCCAAACTAGGATGAAACAACTGGTTCTGTTACCAATGTCGGCTCATGATGAAATCCTGTAACCAACACTTGAATTTAAACATTCTGTTTTTAGGCTTCAGTTAGAAGTTTCAGGAAAACACTCTGTAATATAACCGGTCAGTCAGTTATTTTCCATATAAATGCGTCCATAATGGGTAAATTTTTATTTTGATAGAGTCTCACAGTGTTATACAGTAATATTTACTGATGACGTTTCGAGCACAAACTATTGCTCATAATCATATCAAGTTACTCACACAACTTCTTTCCTTCATTTATATACATGTGTGGAATCGACTAGATATTGGATTAAAATTCAATATGAGATAATGTACATTCAGAAATAATAGTACGAGTGTTATTAATCCATTGCAATTAGATGGGAAATACGACGAGTGTTTTTATAGTCATAATAAGTTGACTGTTAGAATGTGTTTGAATGGAAATAGATTATTTATTATTCTCTTCTGATTTGACTGGTGGTAATAATACGAGTGTTATTAATCCATTGCAATTAGATGGGAAATACGACGAGTGTTTTTTACAGTCATAATAAGTTGATTGTTAGAATGTTATGATGTGCTTGAATGGAAATAGAATTTTAAGACAATTTATCATCTTCTTCTGATTTGACTGGCGGCAATAATATCTTCCATATTTCTGGTATTTGCATTGAGCCACTTCTGTTGCATGTGTTGGGTGTAGATTCGATGAACAAAGATTCAGTAATCAACCTCTCTTTCCACCTACCTAGATTACTTTTTAGAATTTTAACCCTCTCCCACCCTATTGTGTGGTTGTGTGTTAATGCATGCAGTGCGATTGCCGAGCTTTTTTCTAAATTACTTATCTTCTCTGGGTCAACCATTCTTATCTTAGCTAAATTCTTATGTTCTGCCAATCTGACTACCCCTGACCTACTAGTTTGACCTATGTAGTTGACCTCACAGTCATTGCAGGGTATTTTGTAAATTATATTATTTTGTCTAATTGGGTCCACTGGGTCCTTTAACCTACAGAGCTTGTCCCTGAGTGAGTTTGTAGGTTTAAATGCCACCCTAATTCCTGCTTTATTTAGAATCCTACGTAGGGTCTCAGATGTCCCTTCTTTATATGGTATAACTGTAGATGACTTATATTCTCTCTTATTTATTTTATTACTACTAGTTTCACAATTCTTTTTATTTTTCTTTTGGCTTTTTTCAATCTTCCTAATGAATTTTAGAGGATAGTTATTTAAAACCAACGCCTCTTCTATATGTTTTATTTCATCATTAAGGTCTTTTTTTGTGCTACTTAGTGCCATTGCTCGGTTTGTTAAACATTTAACTAAGCCTGCCTTAACAGTTACAGGATGAGATGAATTAAAGTCTAAATATCTATTAGAATGCGTTGGTTTTCTATAAACACTAGTTTGTAGTTTACCTTCTTCTATTCGTTTTATTTTACAATCTAACATAGCTAATTCTCCTTGCTCATTTTCGGTTTCAAATGTGAATTTTATTCCCTCCACTAGTGAGTTTATGTGTGTCAAGAAGCTAGAGATATGTTCTGTTTTTAACACTGTGAAAGTGTCATCCACATATCTCCACCATATTTTTGGAGTAGGATTAAATGTATTAAGTGCCATATTTTCCCAGCTATCCATAAATATATCTGCCACGATAGGGGATATTGGTGATCCCATTGCTACACCTTCAGTTTGTCTATATATTTTGCCTTGGAATTTAAATATAGTAGATGTGAGGCATAGCTGAATCCCTAAAATAATTTCCTCAATGGACAGCTTTGTCCTATGATTGAGTTCAGTATCCGCAGTTAGTTCTTTTCTAACTGCTTCTAAGGCCATATTGACTGGTATATTAGTGTAAAGACTGGTTATATCAAAACTAACCATTGTTTCATCATTATCTAGTTGTATGTCATTTAGTTTATTTTTCATCTCATATGCGTTAGTTAGTCTAGAATTTGAACGATCTCTAATGGGGCATAATATTAAAGCTAAATGTTTTGATAATTCATATGTAGGGGTATTTCTAAAATCTACTATTGGTCTTATGGGATAACCTGGCTTATGTATTTTAATAGTACCATACATCCTACTAGCATTATTAGTTTTAGGCATTAAATTAAACCATTTTGACTCACCCAGTGACGGCTTCATTCTGCGTACTAATTCCGCTGTGGATTTTTTAACCTTATTCATTATTGTATCTACGGGCTTCTTGATTTCCTCATATGGACCCATTTCAATATGTTCAGTGACCTTCTTGATGTAGTCAGATTTATTCAAAACTACGGTGGCGTTTCCTTTTGCGACGACAACATTTTTATCCTGTTTTAGATTAATTAAAGCTTCTCTTTCCGATTTTGTCAAGTTTGATTTTGCCTTCTTTTGATTTTTTAGGGTTAATGCACAGTGTGCTCTAACCTCTTCTGCTGTTGTTTTATCTATTGAACCTAGTGCTACTTCTATGTTAGGAATGACATCTTCTGGCTTTAGTTTATTAACTGTTACGTTGAAATTTAGTCCTTTTTCCAATACTTTTATCTCACTGGAGCTTAGTTCCCTTGATGAGAGGTTGATCACCCACTTTGTTTTGTCGATAGAGGATGAAGCATTGACATCAATGCTTCATCCTCTATCGACAAAACAAAGTGGGTGATCAACCTCTCATCAAGGGAACTAAGCTCCAGTGAGATAAAAGTATTGGAGCATCTGGTAAATTGTGAACATTCAGCCCCGTTTGAAAAGTCCTACAAAGCTATATATAAGATCCGATCCAACCTACTCAAGGGAGTGAAATCAAGACATCTAGGAATAGCTGAGGCACTGTCCAACCATCGTTCCTACCGTGGCCATCATGAAAAGTCACTCTCACCAATAATGATTATCCTACTACCTTTCTTGGTCAACCTTCCCGTTTATTTGTTATATTTACCTTTCAAATCCCTATCTGCATTATTAGATTTGGTTACTGTTTTTATTTTTACATGTCCGAACCTCCCACCCATTTCGTTAATACTACATCCTTAACCCGTAATTATACAAATTGACTAGTTGTCTTGTAATTATATTCCTATTTCGTCTTTTCTACCCGATCTTCCTGATTATTACACATAGTAATTTTTAATTTGACCTTTGGCCTGAAATATTTCCAGAATAGTGCCACTACCTATCTTTTGTTTATTACACTTAGTAATCTTATTAATCTGACCTCTGACTGGAAATAATTCTGGAACTTTCTCATACATGTAATATGAATACACGAATGTACAGCCTAGTTTATGACTTCGTCGAAAAGAAAATTTTCTTCGCTGCAACCGTCTTCTTTTTAATAATTCCTATGATCCAATGTGTATATTCCACATAAATGATTTTTTTGTAATCAGGTGTAACATTTTAAACTAAGTAAAATATTTGTTAAGAATTGTGTGATAAAATAACTCGTACATAGAAAGTAACACCTTTCAAATTTATAGATACTGTTATAAAACAATTAATGAATCCACTTTGTTTTTATATTTTAAGAAATAATAGATGCTATGTGGCATGACAATTCATGGGATTCTGCTTGGGATACATGGTGGCACTATAAAGAAGGAGTGATAGGTGGTAAGATTTTCACGATTTATAAATATGCTTAATGTTAAACTAGTTTTTTTCTATATTGCTTTTCTACTAAATGACCTTCAGCAATCTTAGAAATTTAGCTACACTTTGTAATTAAATTTTCTTATTTTCAAATTATATTCAGGATAAGATCTTCAACGATTCTTCTGCATGTGACTGATATGATTTTGAAATATTTATCTCAAACCTACCAGTAATATTACTATTATTGGTTCCTTAGCACTCCGAGAGCAGCATATGGCTTCAGTGGTGCTTCTCCATTGCTGTCAGTTCTCTGACATCATTTCTACTGCCTCAGCGACTACTCAGAAGCTTTCATTCTGCCTTTCTGACGCTTTCTTCACGGGTTCCACCTGAGAACTTGATGTGCAATGTCACCTGATGGTCCTGTCAGCATGTGTCTAGTTTATTCTCATTTCCTTATGCATATTTGTTGAGCAACAGGTTGTCAGCTGCTTCGCTGAGTTCCTTTTAGCTTATCATTTCTGACCAGTCTTCTTACATCCAGTATTAAGCGAACTTACATGCTGATGAAAGTCCGTAGTAGCCTGTTGGAAGTGGTTTTAGTGACTTGTGTGTCAAGTCTTTGAACCATATAGAGGCGCTAACTTGACATTAGTTTTGAAAATTCGGGTTTCTTCTCCTCATGTAAAGTGCCATAGATCTCCACAGTGACTTCAAAGTAATACACACCAGTCTTGACTTTCCCAACTCGTCTGGCTTTGACATTCTCATCTGCGTAGCCTGTAGTTATGATGACGCTGCCAGGATAAGTGAAAGAAGTGAATTCATTTAGATTCCTCCTATCGATGAACTCATTTCAATGACATCTTAATGACTGATTTAAATTCTACCTAGCTTTATGTTCATGTAGTTAATCAAAATATTTTTAATCCGTCTGTCAACCGCTAAATTAGGCGACCTGCTTGAATTTCTGGACTACCTGAGTTTTGTTCAGCACAATGCATCCTATTTTCCCCATTTCTTATTATTTTAATCACCCAATAATGTCTTTGACTTGCAAAATATAGTGGCTTTCAAAACACCGGCGGTAATTTCTCGCAGGTGGATGAAATGACATCATAGGGGATTGGTCTATGCTTCAGAACGAGCAGTATTGCGTCACATGATATACTGTAAGCTGCTATTTTACTTGGAGCTCCTGGATAAAACATTACATAGTATAAGTTACCCTGAGAATTCTGTAAACTGTTCAAACATTTTGTTTAGAATAAGGCTATTATTATTACCAAGACCATACTTTGTTTTTGAAACAGTAGTCAAAGTGTTCTGTATTTCTAACTTGGTACAAGTTTGAATTGAAAAGAGATAAAGTATCTGAGCCATGGATAACCAACAAAGACATATTTCTATTTCACATAATAGTTGAAAGTTGCACTAAATCCAAAGTCAGCATTCGGTGTTCATCCCTCAAAGTAAATAAAGACTCTTGTTGAAATTGTAAAGGTTGGGTGATCTCTTCATATGCATAAAAGTTGTAATATCATTATATTATAACATTCATACTGCTGGTAAAGATTTATTTACCTTGAAGTTAGTTAAAACTTAGTTACCTTCAGAATATTTTCTGTGCATAAGGCGATGCGATAGACTTGTTGTGCGACAGCCGATGATAACACCCAATTTTGTGGACTGAAGTAAGCAGAACATTATTAGAATCTGGTACTCATTGGTTGAAGGTCGAATGCTTGAGCCGATGAGCCACGCCTCTGATTACAACTTTAGTATTGCTTCAGCCTCAGTAATAATAGAAGACATTTATCAGCAGAACTGAAATTACTTCACTGTCTGTACTGATTCAACATTTTGTCAGTGGTTTTGGTTTATAAGAAAGTGGCCTTTTCTATATTGTCAGATATTCGACGTGGGGAATTTTAGTTGAATAAACCTCAAATATATGTCGACAGTTTATGTTGAAATCTTCATATTTCTGCTGACAATTCTGGAATTACCTTTGTTTTAGTTTGATGGTGTCGGTTTAGTGCTTACCAGCTTAGCGTTATTGAGGCACATTAAAGGAGTCAAACTGTCCTAATAGTTTCCAGTTTCTTAGCTTACATTTCAACGGATCCAGGAACTTCTGAAGATATGCTGACACCATTATTGCAAAACGTTTGAAAGGAGAGGAAGATGCCTACTGGATGGAAGAAAGGCTACCTTGCCAAATTACTGACGAAAGGTAACTTACGCCTCTGTAAGAACTGGTGTGGAATAATGCTTTTCTCTACGCCAGGTAAAATACTGATTCGCATCTTCCCGGTGAGATTTAGAAGGATTAAAAGGTGGATTCAGGAAAGGTAAATCATGTGCTGATCAGATTGCAGCTCAATGCATCGTATTCACAGGAAAAGGCATAAAGTGGTAATCAACTCTATTTCTCAATTCCTTCGACTTCGAAAAGGTCTTCGACAGCGTTGACTGAGAAATAATTTGGAAACTGCCTCAACACTATGGATCCCAGTGCCTTAAATCTTTATCAGCCTCATTCAACAGCTGGCTATATGATGAAAGACCACATGTCAGGTAATGCAAGGCGGAAAACTTCAAGAAGCCTCTGAAGTAAGTACAGGAGTTAGACGAGGCTGCCTATTAATACCAGTGATAAAATTTATTGCGATGGACTGGATTATGTGTGAGACTCTACGCTGGGAGTCAGAAGACAGGAATATGCTGAACCACTAAGGAGACTCCAGAAGATCTGGATTTTTCAGATGATTTATTTTTAACGTCACACGAATTCAATGACTTGCAGGCGAAAACTGATAGATTTACAGGAGTGAGGTGCAAGGGAGACAGGATTGCAGGTGAGCATAGAGAAGTTAGAGGTGATGAGGATAACCAACCAACAGCAACAGCAGCAACAACCAACACCAGTCATCATAAACGGGGGAAATTTGACCGAGGTCGCTTTCTTTACTTATCTGGTTAGGAAACATGATTTCAACCACAGGTACAACGATGATATCAAAGAAGGCCAGAATCGCAAAGGTAAGATAAACCTTCATCAATTTGAAATCAGTTTGGAAATCTTGTACACTCCGCAGCATCAAGAACAAGATTTGGATTTTCAACATGAATTTTAAGTCGGTCACTTCTTCCATATGGGTGAGAAACTTTCACTGAGCGTGACGAAGGGGATTTTCAACAGATTGTGGACTTTTATCAATAGCTGTCACCTTCCATGAGACCATATAAGGATTTAATGGCAGGCTAAGAAGAGTTAGCATGAACAAACTATGGGAGCAAAATAATCAAGGACCTGCACAAGAAAATGGAAATGGATTGGGAACACGCCACTGAGGAAGCCGTCGAGTGACATCGCGCACTAGGCCATAGAAAATAGAAAAAAGTAGAGATGTGTTGTTCAAGCGCTATGTCCCACTGGAAACCCAAAAGAACAATAATAAATAATAACAGCTTATGTTTCGATGTCGGAATGCGTATATATATATATATATATACAAAATTTCAAAAATTTAGTTATGTATGTCATTTTGTCCATTTTTAAAGCAAAGCATCTTGTTTTCACATAGACAGAATGGAACTGAAACTATCCGAAGTGTGGTATTTCTATTTGCTGTTAAAAATGGATTGACGAAACCTTTATCCTTAGACCTGTTGCACTGTAGTTTTATTTCAGTTTCATTGATTATCTTACTACATTAAAAGTTATGCAGTATTCTCTTATGACAAGTGCCTTTAATAATTGGCTTAACCGTTAAGACCTATGCGAAACATATTTCCATTCTTTTGAAGGTCCGAGTCATTGGGGGCAAACCGCTTTCATGGCTATTGCCAATGATGTTTGGCCTTCTTGCTACCATGGAAAAATGCAGTCACCAATCAGTATATCTACAAAACACTTAGTATTTGATTCAAACTTAACGCCATTAAAAATGTCAGGTTCAGATAAACAAGTAAGTTACCAGTGCTTTTGTTGACAGTTTCTATTTGTTACCTGAAATTTGTTGCATTTGATTAAGTATTTACATGATAATTTCTCCATGGAGTTTTCTGACTGTAAGCACAGGTTATAAAAATATTTCATACTGCAGTTTTATGAGTTTTAAAGGAACAAAAGGTTATTTATATATATGACTTGAAAATGTGTTGAAGTAATTAATAATAAATGCAGTTCGAAAAGAGCCAAGAGGTAAGGAAAACATTCACAAGGTGGCTTTGGCATTTAAATTATGACCATTTAAAAAAAGGCAAATATTTCTTCAAACAAATGTCAAATGTATTCATCAATCTATCGAATTTTTGTATCCGAAAGAATATTATAATAATACTGAAGTCAATTTGCCAGAATGAATATCACCCATGTTGAACATTAGTAGGTGTTATCAGAATTTCACAGATGAAACTGATATCTTGTCCAAATATTGAAGGAAACAGCCTGTCTTATTTACCCCAATGAAAGTAGATAAGACGAATCAACTAATCAATGGGTATATGATTTTGGCATATTTTGGTTCTGAAGAGATACGTACTTTCAATTAATTACTTGCCAAATTTATGTTTACACGAACTGTTGAAGAAGTTCAACATAAATCGCAGATGATTACTTCAATAATTTTACTTCCTTGAATTCAGATTCAATATCACTGGTATTAAGCTCTAATAGCCTGAGTCAATCTGAGAACGTTCAGCATCTAAGTAAGCCATGAGGCATTATTGGCATTGTCATCTTAATACTAGACCAAAGTAGATCCAGAAGGGATTTGGACACGTGACTCATCAATTAAGAGGCAAATGTGCTAGACAATGAACTATATTTTGAATTACTGGGGCTATCGTGCAATACAAACATAAAAGAAGCAGATATTATAAAATCAGTATGCAAAATGATTAAAAACTTAAGTCGTATGTTGCTTCAATTATCAAAGAATGAAATATCAGTTGGTGGATTATCTTAAAAATTATCAGTGTATTCATGAAATACCTTGGATTAGTTCTTTCCTCTTACCTTTCATGGTCATCCCACATCTTATCAATCTCTAAGAAAATGTTTTGTCTTACCTTCTACATTAAAAAGTTAAGACAATCAGGTATCAACCAACCTTTACTTCTGCAATTGTTAAACTCCTGTATTTTACGTATTGTACTCTATTGATCTCCATTAATCTTTCCTGGGCTTCTCAAAAAAAGACTATATCATATTACGAAGGGTATTAAATGCTGTGAGTAGGGCTTGTGGTTTGCCACTGCTTGAGCTCGCCAATACTATAGTCGAGAGACACATAAATTCCTGTACAAAATGGGCAAGGGCCGTAATGTCAGACCCTCTGCACCCTCTTTATTCACAACTATCCCCTTGTATCTCATCAGGTAGGACGAGAAGTCAATATAAAAAGTTATATGCTTAAACCACTAAGTACAAAAATTCTACAATACCGTATTTAGCCCGTATTTTATGTGATGAAGACTCTGTCAGACGTGAAACATATAAGTTACTATGTAATTAGCATAGTGAATCGACCCTTTCATTGTTCATCTTTCTGTAATTCTATGGTGTCACCCTTTCTATCGTTTAATTATAACTTAGCTATTTTATTTCAGTTGTTATTACTATTATTACTACAATTTTATACTTTATGCATATTTTTCTTCTTAACGCATACTGTAATTGCTACATAGCTGCTATAACAACGTTTTGTTATTATTATTATGTAATTGTCTATTTTTTGTCGTTTTGAGTAAATACGATGCAATATTGTACTGAATGCTGAAAATTCCTTGCTGTATCAATAATACTGTTTTTGGAATAAAGCAAAAATTATTATTATTACCTTCCATGGACAGTAGTTTATAAGGCTAGAGTTGTTATGACTAATACACTTACCTCCATCATATTCACTTTAGAGTTTGAGATTATTTGGTGTTAGTTAACGTGAGATGAATAGCCGAAACGTTCAAATAGCTTCACATTTCGCTTGTTCAAAGTACTTAAGGGGACAAAGTGTATAAAGCGTCGGTGTCACAGCGGTAGAATGCTCACCGACCACGCACTCCTTTACTTCGCTAAGCCAGCACTAAGGTGGTAAAGAGGGAGGGTTGGGCATGAAGCTAGCAACTCCATCCCGTAAACAAACACCACTGCTACTGAAACTCCTAGCTTCTAGCTTGAAGCCCTGTGTTTCTAACAGGGAACGTAAAGGAATAGAAAAAGTGTACAATACTGAATGTGAATTCTGAAAAGTAATTCTGCTATTAACTCTAACCATAGGTAAATAAAAAATGTACTTGTTTCCAAATATATAATAAATAACAATCATCATGACTGGGAAAGTAATAGTTTTTGTGACTTAAAACTGCAATGTGTAGTCCTTTTGTGATAAGGTTAGCAAGCGGCCATATTTGTAAATGCATTCTTATTATTGTTCTTACATAGCCGATAAGTATTTTCTGTACCAATCATTCAATTTGCAACGCAACACCTTATCTAATGTCAACATTTCTTGTAGATTGATGTAGAAATCGTGAACACTGGCCAGGACTTACAAGTGAAAATCCTTGATTCAGAAACATCGGTCGTATTCAGTGAAGGACCACTGGTGTACGATTACAAATTTTTCGGTGCACTTATAAAATTTGGTTCAACATCAGAACGTGGTTCAGACCATCAAATTGATGGTGTCGCTTTTCCAGCTGAGGTAACTAATTGAAATTATGTAAACTAAATATAGAATTCCATGTTCTGTGATATTTAGATGACGACTTTTACCTTAATCTTTTATCGACAACTGATTTTCCAAATGTAAAATGATGGAAATCCATTTATTTTTGCGGAAATATCGGCAGCTAATTTATAGTTAAGTGAAAGCAGGAGTCAGTTTAATTTTTTTGTTTTTCGTCGATATAAGAATAGAACTTGTGCATTGTGGTAGAGTATAATTCCGCTGTGGATAAAATTTATTTTGATAAAGTCTCACAGTGTTATACATTAATATTTACTGATAACGTTGATGTGATATGAGCAATAAATTGTGCTCAAAATATTATCAGTAATTATTACTGTATCACACTGTGAGACTTTATCCGAATAAATTTAATCCACAATGGGAGTTATTTTCACTAATAACAAACAGAAAATGATTTCATGCCATGCCATGCTGATTTATGTTCAGTGGTCATGAAAAACATTTTACTGTCAAAAAAAGCATAACCATAAAATGATCATGTTTATTAGGCTGAATCTTTCTTTATTCTAACATAGTTTAAGGATACTGTTCCATGTATTCTAAAAACTAGAGCTTTTTTTCACCTGAGAAGAGACGTTAAAATTCACTTTTCTTAAACACAGACTATTGACTGATTTTTATTTCCATACTACACAGTAAGAAATCTGTACATAGACGGTGTCTGTCTAGTGATGTCATATGTTAGCTATTTGGTCAAAAAATAACAATTCTTTTGATGTTATTATTTTCGTAGATAACAACACGATAAAAACTATTTGATAATCTCATGGATATTCTTCAAATCAGGCACTATTTTTGTTTTCATGTTTCCCTTCTCCGTGTGATTCATTTTCATGTTTGATCACACCGGGGAAACTTCGTATCAAATTGAAAGTTGTTATATTCAATAATCTCATTTTTTTGGTTACAGGATTTTCATCATGAGCTGACATTAGTTAGAGAACCATTGGAAAACCTGGGGGTACTGGAAAGCTGTTTCGTCCTAGTTTGGGGCTCTTCATCAGTACGCACCCACTGACTTCTCACTCGTGGCCGGTAGGGTGCAGCAAGTCGGGTGTGAGGACAAATACTCGCCGAAGACATTGGCTAGGGGTCGCGCTATGTCGTGAATTGGCAGAAGTTAGAATTCTTGGGCTGGCCATTAAAACCGGGTCCCAGTGGCTTAATGGTATATGAGCTAGCTCACCTTGTAAGCAGAAGGTCCTGGGTTCGAATCCCGGTGGGTGCGTACTGATGAAGAGTCCCAAACTAGGACGAAACAGCTGTCCAGTGCTCCCTGCAGGTTTTCCAATGGTTCTCTAACCAATGTCAGCTCATAATGAAAATCCTGTTAGCAATCAAATCTCTACAAACCAAAACTTGAGTCTCATTTTTGTTACTTTGTGGAATTTATATTAGTCGTAACTGTGCTAACGTATGTACATAGACTGAGACTGTACAACTTGTGGAAATTCAGAAATATATCTTCGATGAACTTTTTGTTTACTCTCAAATTTCCTGGTAGGCATTTTCCACGATACTTCAAATGCAGTGGTTTTTACATTTTCAGGCTTGTCAGACCAGTATATATATTTATTAGTAGAAGCTTCAGTATAGATATTAAAAACAAATTTAGACATTGTGATGTCTTTTCGTGATTCTCCCATATTATAAAATGTAATCTCTGTGATAAAATAAGATAGAATCTGGAAAAAGAGACGAGTGTACAGAAGTGCTATCCGTAAAATCGCGTGTACATAAGATTTTCCAGAATATTGAGCTAAATTTTCACAATATATCTCATTCAAGCATACATGTTTCGTATTTCAAATTTAAAAAGCATTCGCTGAATGGTGAGACTAATAAAATATTCGTTCTGGATACCATTTTATTTCGACTACTAACTTCTATAAAATCATGTGATATTCATTATCGTATATTGTTAATAATGTTCCTTCCAAGCCATTGTTTTGAATAACTTGGCGACAAGAGATACTTCACCATGATATAAGAATAAAACTTCTGCACTTTGGTAGAGTATAATTCGATTATAGATAAAATTTTATTTTGATAATGTCTCACGGTGTTATACAGTAATACTTACTGATGACGTTCCGAGCGCAATATATTGCCACTCATAATCATATCAAGTTACTTACACAACGTTCTGACTTCGTTTATATAATTCCATTATTTTCCATCGCTTGATGTGATTGGTAGTAGTATTTTCCATATTTCTGGTATGAGTGATGAGCCATTCCTATTGCACATGTTGCGTGTAGACTCCATGAACAATGGATACAGTGATCAACCTCTCTCTCTCAACCTGTCTATATTACTTCTTAGAATTTTAACCCTCTCCTACCCTATTGTGTCGGTGTGTGTTAATGCATGCAGTGCAATTTCTGAGCTTTTTTCTAAATAACTTATCTTCTCAGGGTCAACCATATACTATATAATGAGGGGACAGCTGAGACCCTACGTAGGATTCTTAATAAAGCAGCAATTAGAGTGGCATTTAAACCTACAAGCTCACTCAGGGACAAGCTATGTAGGTTAAAAGATCCTGTAGTTTGACCTAATTAGACAAAATAATATAATTTACAAAATACCCTGCAATGACAGTGAGTTAGGCCAACTACATAGGTCAAACTAGTAGATCAGGAGTAGTGAGATTAAGGTAAGAATGGTTGACCTCGAGGAGATGAGTAATTTAGAAAAATAGCTCAGCAGTCACACTGCATGCATTAACACACAACCACAAAGTAGTGTGCGAAGGGGTTAAAATTCTGAGAAGTAATATAAGTCAGTGGAGAGAGAGGTTGATTACTGAATCCTGCCTGGTTCATCGAGTCTACACCCAGCACGTGCAATAGGAATGACTTCTCACTCATACCGGAAATATGGAAAATACTATTACCAATCACATCAAGCGATGGAAAATAATGGAATTATATAAACGAAGTTAGAAAGTTGTGTGAGTACCTAGATATGATTATGAGTGGTAATAAATTGTGCTCGAAACGTGGTCATCAGTAAATATTACTGCATAGCACACTGTGAGACTTTATCAAAATAAAATTTTTCCCATAGTAGAATACTTCACTATGATTTGTTATAAATATGACGTCTAGGCTTTCATTAATTCTTATTTTCTTTTTCTACAGTTGCAATTATATGCATTCAATTTTGTATTATACCCAAATTATTCAGTTGCACTTTCAAAACCTAACGGTTTGGCTGTAATCTCTGTATTTTTCAAGGTAAGTTTTAAATGTTTATTCTTATGAATAATGATGAGAGGAACTCAAGGCATTGTATAGAGCATATGCGTACTTTCATAGAGACATTTTTATTTTCAAGTATTGTTTTGTAGGGATTTGATTGATTGGTTACAGGAGCTGATATCGGCTATTTATTTAATTAACACTTTGTCACGTCATTAAATTCACATCCGACAAACATTTTGTTTTAATCATTTACAACTAAGACTTTCTTGAATTTGAAGTTAACGAATATCACCAAATTTTTAAATATACTGTTTTTTTACTGTTTGTTTTTTGATCGGTTGAGGGGTTTTAAACATTTGCGAACTTCGTGTAACTTATGGATTACATGATAACATACTAATAAAAATAAATTACTTGTCAAGGTTCTATTTTTCATTTTACTCTACGAAAAACAATTCCACCTTTATTGTAATCCAATAGTTAAGCTACCAAATAAGATTTCAGGGTTGACGGACTACGGTTAATAGCAAATCGTGTTTTTTTTCTCTTGAAGGTAATACAGACATTAATGACAATAAATGGAAGCTTGAAACACAACTAATCAACAATATATAAAAGGAAGAGGGAAGGATGTCTGTAAAATCTCATTAACATGATGAATTCACTCACTGCATTAATCCCTAAATGTATACATATTCATATCACAGTGTGCATGAAAACAGGAGTGTTGTCGAAAACTGCGCTTCATACACCACTTTCACAAGCAGATGTCTATGTGTGTACCAGAATAAAATGTGAAAATTCCTGGGCTGATTAAAGTGCATGTCATGATTCATTATTGTTACAAACAACGCGACACATATTTAAATGTGTTTATTTATTTACTTTTCCCATCACAACCTACACAGATTGATTAATTTGAAAAAACAAGCGAGAACATCCTGAATTCTCCTAATAAAGAAAGATACAATCATTATACATTGATGCTTGTTTTTTCTAATTATACAGCATAATAGCGCCCTATTGCTTTCGGAAAGCGATCAAGTTTGAGCCGATTTTTGTAATCATATCAAATTTATTTTTATACTTCAAATCTGGATTTTATAATTTCCTTATTCTGCAAGTTGTTCACTTTATTAAAACACGAAATGATGGTAGAGTTAAGAAAGCTGTCTGTTATGTCATTACCACTAACACTTTAAAACGCATGAAAGTGTAACTGACTACGTGAATGTATTTCAGACATATTGAATATTATAAATGTGAGGAGTGAGTACTATCTGTTTCAAATACATTTAGAAAATACATTTAGAAATACTAGAAGTTTGAGCCCATCACAAAAAATGTAACTATCAGATGACAAAGTGATGCTTCGTATCACTTTATTCGGGTTCTCTACTTTGATCTTCCAAAAAAATGCAAAAATTTAGACTTACCGTAAAAATTAATTTTAAGACGTGAATGTTAATTTCGGTCATATTTTTATTAGGGTATATAACTTGTTGCCTATATACCATTGATATTTTTTCCTAAGATGGATGATAATGCAATTGTGTCGGTGACATAGAGGTAAAGATGCTCGCCGACCACGCACATGATCTGGGGTTCTACCCCCTGTCGACGCAAACCAGCAAAATTTGGACTACAGATATCACATGCTGAAAATTCCATACCTGTGCCACGGTGTAGAATCAAGCAATAATTAAAAAATACAATCACAGCTGAGTGGAATTGTTTAGATACATTTTGTCACCTTGATGGTTAAGAGTTTACCAAAGTACTCGTTAACAAGGCAGACTATACCTATTTGTCTTTTGTCACACTATTAAAAGTGAATTCTGTTTTGTAACCTTTGAGCGACTATCGAACATCTTTGAGAAAGAAAGGCACAAAAGCCTGCCAAACCAGCTCTATAAAGACCTTCCATTTGTTCCAAAATCCTCATATATTCAAACTGTTTCGTGGTGTCAGAACAATTTTCCTTTTAAAAGTAGATTATTTTATTGAAATCACAAAAGTTTATTACTGCCTTAGCAGTACGCCCAGTGTCTATGTTCGTTTTCCTTACATAATTGAAGCTGTGGCAATAAAAATGATCAAGCCACTACTGCGTGTTCAGACGATCTCTCTTCCTTTGGGCAACATTTGACTAAGTACTATCCTCCTATACGTATTTATCTGTTCCCTTCTTTCTTCACTTTTCCTGTCTAGTTAAATTTTGTCACAATGTTTTGTAATCTGTGTGCATCATTCCAAGATTTTCAAACAGTGCATTTCTCCACACACACACGGACATATTAAAAACATATTCTGTTTCATCACTAGTGATATTATTACTCTTTAATGTGACTTCACTCTATTTATTTAACATTAATTATTTTGTGGTGACTATTTACACCAAATTCCTACCTACATTTGGATGCTATATATCTTTGTACAGGCTGTTCATCAAATCCTATTTTTTTAACTTCATCAGTTCATGTTTTCATCAATTTCGTAATATCATTATGAATAATGGCCACCATTCATTTCATACTAGTTTGTAATTGCATCCAGCGCACTGTATCATGAAAATATTACTTATATTCTCATTTTACAAGTCGACTCGAAATCTATAATCATGTTATCTATTTAGTGTTTTTGCACGCCAAGTAATCCACAACGGAAAACTCACGGAGTCCTTCGAAGAAGTGAAGACGGGAGTAAGACAAGCTGGCTGCTTACTATCGCCAATGATTTTCCTGATTGCAGTAGATTGGACAATGTGACAGACAGCCGGGGAACAGACATAAAATGGACCCACACAAAAAAACTTGGAGCATCTGAACTTCGCCGATGATATATGTCTGATTTCCCACAAACTGGAAGATATGCAAGTGAAAAGCAACAAGTTGGCAGAAGAAACATCCAGAGAAGATAGGACTTCAGGTGAACACATAGAAGGTGGAGACAGAGGTTATGAAGATTCCTGGCCAACAGCAACAGCAACAACAACAGACAACAATCAGCATAAATGGGAGGAATCTGAAAGAAGCAGCCTCCTTCACCTACCCACATATCTGGGAAGCATCGTTTCAACTACAGGCAGACGGAACTGATGAGGATTTCATAACAGCAAGGATCGGGAAAGCATGGCAAGCTTTCATTACTCTCAAGTCTGTGTGGAGGTCAACAGCACTTCTCATCATGAAAAACAAGATGTGGATTTTCAACTCCAATGTAAAGTCAGTGCTACTTTATGGATCAGAGACTTGGCCGGCGCGTCACGAAGGCCACTTCGAACAAACTGCACACCTTCATCAACAGCTGTCTTCGATCAACACTACTCAAGATCAGACGGCCAGCCAGAAAAGATCAGCGACAGGGAGAGATCTCTGGCAATGAGCGAACCAACCCAGCAGTAACCGATTGTGCAACAAATATGCAGGAAGAAATGGAGGTGGATTGGCCATACTCTGAAAAAATCATCAAATGACATCACACGCTAGGCCATCACTCGAGTGGAACCCAAACGGGAAGCGGTGAGTTGGTCGTCAGTGCAAGGGTGACTTGGAGGAGGTCATGTGAAGAGGAGATGAAAGCATGTGGGCAGACATGGAGCCAGATGAAAACACTTGCAGAGAACCGAACGCAATGGAGACGTGTGGCTGAAGCATTATGTTCCTCTAGGAACTAAAGGAAACAATAATAATAATTTAGTGTTTTCGTCTCATTTGTGATGATGTGGAAATATTTTGGTCTCTGAAACTGCACATTACTGTTTTCCAAAATTTTAAATAATTTACATATCTATTCGCTATTCCTCTATTTTTTGTAACTAATAAGGAACATGGCATTAGTTCAACATTTGTTTTGACAATGTTATTATAAATCTTTACGGTAACATGAATTTTTACAAGGAAAATTAGGCACTGCAGGATATATTAAATTATGTATACTTCAAGCACAGTTGATTTTATTAAGATTTGTGTTTTATTTTTTTGTTTTAGATTGGTGATCAGTCATCTGCTGACATGGCAGCCTTGTTATCTACAGCAGAGCAAGTTCAACTTAAAGGTATGTTATACGACGAATTTAGCTAAAAGGATTGTTATCTTTTGATTTTAAACGTGAAAAATCATGATTTATATTTAAATTATTCATTTTTTATTTCTTATCTCATTTGGATGGTATGAATAAAATGCCATCAAATGAAAATTAACAATCTTTTATTCCTTGTGCTACTTACCATGGATATCTCATAATTAGATTTTTAAAAGGATGAGGTTGATTGATATTTGCTCATCAACAAATTTTGAGCTCTGCGCGAAAGTACAGTGTTTCAAGGTGCCAGATTCTGAAAAGTTATGTTGGACTGAGTTATACGGTGGAGAATACAATTTAGTGTAGGTTAGTGATGAGTTTCGAAAGATGGGTAAGAAAAACAGATGAATATATCTAAGCTATTATGTTAAATTTCTGGCCATCTCTAAGATAGGCTTTAAATACTGACCTCTAGTACCTCAGAAACCCCATCGAATCAACAGTCGAAGGTAACATGAATTCATAACACTTCTAGTGGTATAACTAAATACTTGTGCTATCTTCGACTTATTATCACTGTACAGAAGTGACATATGATTGATTGAAGGTTAAATCTGGTTTACAAATTCTTAAGATAACACACAAAACAAATGATAAGAGAACCTAGAAACTAACTGACATTTTATTACCTCTAGAAACCACTCCTGGTTTCCAGCGAAATACATTTTATTCTACTTACATATTCCTTGGCAAAGTTGTGCTTCGTTGGTTGCAGAGTAGAATGGTTATTCATAGATTTAGTAATGGAAAGTGAAAGACGGATATACTTGTGAAGCCACGGTACTTACTGCTAACCTGCACACTAGAAAGATTATTAGCTAACTCCAACATCCTTTTAACTCTTAATGTTACTTAGAATTCATATGAGGCAGATAAAACTTCTTATATTCGAGAATCCTTCGTTGAAGTTATTCATATATTGTTTAAGGGGATTTCAAACTTTGCAAACATTTTATGATACGACTATACGAGCTGGATTTATTTCGTGGATTCTCTTCAGCTGCGTACATCCTAAATAAATCATTTGTTTTAAAATTGCTCAACACACTTTTTACAATGACTTCAAGTTATAGACACAAGGCATGGGCAATATGATTTCAAAGATAATGGAAGTAGACAATTACTTAGTGTTAAAAGAGTAGCTATATATATAGTAACTCAAAAAGAGGGTAGAGTTCAGATTTCGCTTGGAAACAAGGACGGACTAGAGACAAAATAGAAGATAGAAGAAGAGAGGGAATTTATACGTATTATCGTGGAGAGTTCAAGAAAGTGAGGGTGAATGGTGAAGTAAAATTATAAAATAGGTAAAATACAATTTAATTTAGTAGATTTGGAGTCTTACCAGTGAGTTCAACTCAGTAAGTGAAAATCAAGATCACGAATGAGTGGAATCCTATGCAACTAAACAAAACACACAAAAACACGAACAAAACGATTACGGTAACGGCGTCTAGGGGAGTGAGAAGTTAGTAACACTTTCTTCCTGTATGTAAAGATTGCGTTGAGGTCTTTTGATGGTAATGCCTTCTGCGAATCAACGTAACGACGCCTTTCTTTGCGCATTGATTATTTTGAAGACCTGACCATTTTCCAACGTATGCCCCATGTGAACTAGGTGCCTGGCAGTCGATTGCCTTGTATACTTTTTAAAGGGATTTTAAGCTTTGCAAACATTTTATGGTGCTATTACTCTAGTATATATATAAATTATAAAGCGCTGGATCAAATGACTAAGGCTTAGTAGTTATGTTGATGAGCGTAATATTTTAATCCTTCTCATCATAATAATTTTCATGAATATATATATATATATATTTGATCACGGATTGATATCAATTAGAGAACCATTGAAAACCAGGGAGTACTGGTCAGCTGTTTTCTCCGTCCTAGTTTGAAAATCATCGGCAGTAAGCGCCCACCACAGTTGGTTCGAACCCAGGACCTTCCAGTTACAAGCAAGCAAGCAAGCTCGTATACCATTCAGCCACTGAGACCTGACTCAATGGCCCATGAATTCTAACTTCTACCAATTCGTGATTTAGCGTGACCACCAACCAATGTCATCGGTGGCACATCCATCCTCACACTTAACTTTATGGACATCACTGGTTACGACTTCTCGCTAAAACTCCAGGAAACTCTGTCCTGTTGCAAGTTACTAGCGGACATCACAGAAACATGTCAGATTAGTATGGGAAAAGATCCTAATAATGAAAAGACAGACAATAAATTAGTATAGTTCCAGTACTTATCTTTTCATGTCCCGCACTGTTTACCCATCGTGTGAATACTGTAAGCTTTTTTTACTTTTCTGTGAAACAATTTGAAAGGGCACTATCTCGCGAGCAGTTTTCAACTGGAAAGTCTTCTCAAGAGTATTTCATTTGCCATCCAACGTAAAAATTGTATTTTTTATCAAAACTTAACATTTATGAGTTTCAAATTTGACTCCGAGGTGCAGACAATCACACTGCTTCTGATCTCGTCATCGTTTTGATATTATTGTTTGGTGAATGGCAAGCTAGATTACGGGGGTACCTAACTTCTCTATATGAATTAATAAGTAGAGTTCACTTCATTTTGTAATGACTTTATAGTTTAATTTATGACTTAACTCCGACATCGCAAAAACGTTACAACATAGACACTTGAGAAAGCCATCAAAACACAGCAGAAATACGTTCTCGCCTCTCTGCATAGAATAGTCACTCGAACTTGAAAATTATTCTACTATGTGCAGGATTATGAGGGATTAAATCTTTATAACAGTGCCAGTTATACACTAATTTTGATAAAATGTTTAAGCGACCATATAAAGTAGTTGAAAAATCCCCAAGAAGTAGCACGGTGGCACAGCGGTTATGACGCTCGCCGACCACGCACATGGTGCGGGGTTCCATCCCCTGCCAACGTACACCTGATTTCAATGATCGGCCTGCAAAATTTGTGCTACCGATATCACATGCTGAAAATTCCATACCTGTACCAGAAATACGGTGTGGAATCAAATTATTATTGTGTCCTTTAATTCCTAGAGGAACATAGGAATTCAGCCGTGCGTCTCCATTGAGTTCGGTTCTCTGCTAGAGTCCTCACCTGGCTTCAAGTCTGCCCACACGTTTTCATCTCCTCTTCACATGACCTCCTCCAAGTCACCTTTGCACTGACGACCAACTCGCCGCTTCCCTTTCGGTTTCCACTCAAGGGCTTGTCTAGTGATGTCACTTGATGGTTTCCTCAGAGTATGGCCAATCCATCTTCATTTCCTCTGCCTATTTGTTTCACAATCGGTTCCTGGTTGGTTCACTCCCAGAGATCCCTGTTGCTGATCTTTTCTGGCCGTGTGATCTTGAGTATTGAGCGAAGACAACTGTTAATGAATGTCTGCAGTTTGTTTGAGATGCTCTTTATGACGCACAGTGCAAGTCTCTGATCCATATAGTGGCACTGACTTCACATTGTAGTTGAAAATCCGGATCTTATTTTTGATGCTGAAAGTTGTTGACCTCCACACAGACTTGGGAGTAGTGAAAGCTTATCTTGCTTTTCCGATTCTTGCTTTGATATCCTCGTCAGTTCCGCCTGTAGTTGAAACAATGCTTCCCAGCTGTAATCAAAATTTTAAAAAATATTTACGATTACTGCCATTCAGTTCAGATCCATTTTAAGAAAGCTTAAGACTCCATCTTTCGAAAAGTAATTTAAACGAAGACTGAGCAGAATTAACACCTTTTTTTCTTCGAATATTATTTCATTGAATGTGTTCATTGGTGGTCACAGTGTACTTTTCAAAGTCAATCCCGAGGTGACTGAAAATCATTTAATTCATGAAAATATTTTTACTAAAGTAACATACTTTTTAGACGTCTTGGTGCATATTGTTGTAGGAAGTATTACACCACATTATTTCGTACCCTAGTTCAAAGGGAATGATTAAACCGAACTAGTGCTTTCATGTGGTTTTCTCATTTTTTATTTTGTAGGGCAATTAAAAAGACTGAATGGTTTAATACTGGATGCTATTTTACCGTCTATTCTTCAATACATGACATATCAGGGTTCTTTGCCCTTTCCTGCTTGCTATGAAACAGTCACATGGATTATACTGAACCAGCCGATCATAATTACAGAAACACAGGTACGTCTATATACGCATATACAAAGCGATTGTATGACTATCCTGATTTCCGAATAACTTTAATAGGCATATGAGCTTAACAAACGGAAAAAGGCTTAGTTACTACTGTAATTTTAGAAATTATTATTTGGTTGTCTGTTAGTTGCACAATTTAACTTCGGCTTATTAATATAATACTTGAATAGGTGTGAATGAACAATTGGTAAAGTTATTTTTTTCCCCTAGGCTATATCTTATTTTCATGTTTGTTTCCTAAGTGTTATTTTTTGGGGGAATTTCGGATTTAACATGAAATGCTGAAAAGACTACACTAATTAGTCTGGTGATGTTCGTGTCCAAGTAGATTACAAATTCTTTTTAAATAAAAGTGAATACTGTATTTTATGCAATACACGATGCAAAGCGACATTTTATGCAGATAAATCAAGAAATATGCTATATTTAATTATAAATAATTGACAGAAACCTGGACCTATTTTCACATCTATTGTTGGGAAATATTTATAAGGTTGTGTAATATATTTTTATTTAAGTAGTTATGAAAAACCAGAGATCCTACTTAGAGAACTTCCAGATAAATGCTGGCTTTACCATTATTTTATTCTCGTGGAACATAGGGCTTCAACAGCACATCTGAACTGTACTCTGCTCTTAGACGTCTGTTTCAGTAGGCTGCACAAAGGGCCACAAGCTTTTGTTTTCTCTTCAGATGATTTCTTCCATATCGCCTTCGGACTGTCGATTCGTTGCTCGTTTCCAGTTAGTTTGATGTCATTCAGTTGTCTCCTGAGTATAATTTCAATCCATCCCCGTTTTCTTCTGTATGTATGTTGGGTGATAGCTTGCCGGGTGACTTACTGCCTTCCAGAGTTCTTGACTTATCCTCACCGGTCAGTTGTCTGATCTTCATTATCAGGTGAGGGCTACTGTTTATGAATGTAACATGTTACAAATGCTTTGAGTGACGTGAGAGCCAAGTCTCTGAATCATTTAGAAGCAGTTGACATCAACGTTTAACAGCGTTTGGATCTAGTTTCTTGTGCTGGGTTCTGTAGATCTTCACGTTAATTTCAGAATAATGAACTCCTATCTTTGTTTCCCAATCTCTCTGACATCCTCTTCCATGCTGCTTATGGTTTATACGATGCTGTCGAGGTAAGTGAAAGATACGATTCCCTTTAGATTTCTTCATTTAATGGGGATTCGGGCTTTTAGTTGTTGATTGGATAATTTCTATCTTATCTATGTTCACTCGGAGTCTTGTCTTCACTGACTCTTCTGACTATTTGTTGATTTTTGCCTGTATATCATCGAGTTTGTATACAATGAGATATAGATCATCTGAGAAAATCAGATCTTCTAGGGTCATTTCGTTGGTCCAAAGTATCCTCATCTGCCGACTTTCAGCATTTCATTAGAATAAAAGCATTCCCGTCAGTAAAAATACCAGCATTACAGTTTTAATGTCTAAATTGGTTCATAGACAGATTTCATTTAATGATTTAATATAAGATCAGATGCAGTTCACCAAGGAAGTTTCTGAAATATATGATTATTTCTCAGATACATTTATTAGTTCTGACTGCGCCGTTTAAGTGTTAAATTTTTATTTCAGTTAAAATCCCTTCGTAAGCTTCGAATCGCTCCTTTTCATGGATCCGGAAGTATGGCTGATAACTATAGAACTGTTCAGAAGCTCAATAATCGTTCTGTTCGAACTAACATAGACTTTGAAAAAACAGTAAGTTGAGTCATTTACAATTTTGAGTAAATAAATCGTTATATGAAGCGAAGCACAAAACGTTTAAACTGTGTGTATTAGTTTCCATTTTCGTGCAAGTACATGTATATTTTTTCCTGATGATGCCATCTGGAATGATCATGAGTTGAAAGAATACTGTTGGTGTAATAAGTGGTGACTAAAGGATGGGGCTCGTGTTCCATAATCGGCATGTACGTGTGTTTAGTTCTGATCATAAAATCCTTAACAAGCTGGGTCACCCATGTTTTTATCTTACAATATAGGTACTCAGTTCCACAGTAGCAAGTGAACTGGTTTATGCATTCTGATGTGGCTCAATCCAACAGTTTACGTTTCACTTGCTTTCATGTATTATTCATTATAATTTGACCTTCGACCGGAACTAGTTGCGAAACTTTCTCACCCTTCTGTTATATATTCACGAATGTGCAGCCTAATTGATGACTTATTCGTCTTGTTTCTTTTGCATGATCTAGTGTATATAGCGCAGTTTAAAGATCTGAAATATCCAATTAAATTTTCAGTTTTGAAATGAGGTATAGTAAACACAATAGGCTTTTTACTGTCGTTATGTTCTCTGGACTGGATAATTTAATTACGAAGGTTTATTGTCTTATTGGACGCTTTCAGTGCTAACTGCTTTACAGAGTAGACTGTACACTGAATTATGCTCCAGCTTTTCAGCATTTTGACTCACCCTAGGTTAGTATGATATGGCTCAATGTGGATGATGCCCCAGTATACTGACAGCTAGGCGAAATGCTTATTTCAGTGCCTCTCTCTCTTTATTGATAGTATTCGCCTAATAGAATATCATGCCTAAATTTTCGAAATTTCAGTCACTGGTATCAAATAACCATGCCATAAATACATTTTTATGTAACATAAGACTGAGAAACAAGTCTTGTGTAAACTGTGACCACTGGCATATTTTATTTCCCACTAAAAAGCGTTAAAAAGTGACCACAAAATGACAAATTACTGCCAAAAATTTCGTCGGATACAGAGCAGCGTAACATTATATTTTCTTCTTGTTAATTTGGGTGGCTTTTGTACAATTAAAACCTATTCGTTTCAGTAAAAATGTAGCATACACGTAGTTGGCTGTACCATTGGTTCCGTATCAAAACTATCTGTCCACTTATATTTGAATGAATGTTGGCTAAGTGAAATACTCAGTATAATAGCAGCATTAACGAAACGGTTTCTTGTTTGCTGATGTTCAGCATAACACTTAGCACAAATGCCTAAATGCAAGTAGGGTTGTTTAATTACTTTACAGGTAAATTTGAAGCTAAGAAATAAAAACCATTATGCCTGCCAACAAAACACCTAGCACATGACATCCTGAAAACAGCCTGCGTTAAATGGTCTAGGCACAATCATCCTTTTATACAGATAGATCCAAGGAAAAGGTCACACGTTTACATGGTCGACTTCCAGGATTGTACACGAATTCGTCTACTTTGCTTATGCCGTAGTAACTAGAGACTGATTCCTTAAATCTATTCCGAAATTAAAATACTGGATCAAACTTTTGCTTTAGACATACATCTGATATATACCTAATATTAATATTTACTCATCTTATGTTTACTTTCATTTTGAAGAAGCCATATTGTTCAGTTCAGTCTCAAAGGTCCTATATGGGTAAGTTGATTATGACTTTTTGATTGAATTTTGATGCACGGTTTCACCTACTTTATGTCTATTGACGCAAATTATATATATAGTGGCTTTGACTTATCACGCTAAAGATCAGAAGAAACCATGTGGTAATTTAAGTGCACATTTATGTAATCCTGGTATGAGTTTGTGCCTTAGTCTGCATAAAATGTATTGCTATGAGAACAGTGCTTTTAAGCTTCTCCTTACGAGTCTGTATAATGTGTACCTGTAGAATTAATTTTATATGAATAGTTTGGAAACAGTGGAAAAGAACTAGCCATCACATTTACTGTACGTGCTACCTATAGAAGCGATCATTGAAGCCTGTGTACAGCCTTAAGTGTTGTGAGAGTCATTAATTAGTTATTTCAGAACAATTTTGATTAGAACTTGAATAAATCAACAATTTATGTACGAGTCAGTGGTTCCGATTTGTCAATTTGTTGTAATTTACATGAGTTATTGATGTTTGATTGATAAAACATTGTGGCTGGGTTCATTTGTATTTACCATAGGCGCATATCCTGATGACAGTTATTTAACTAGTCAGCTTAACTTACATGTATACACAAGTCTTGATTTCTGTTCACCACTTATGACTTACTCGAGTTTTTAAAACAAGCTCGAGGCATAATTCTATCTTCAAAATAACAGGCAGTCACATTTTCCTTGGAGGAAGTAGCTATATTTTCTTTGCTGGTCTTCTAATTCAAATTCTTCCCAGTGTAATTATTTGCTTTCAGCATTATTAGTCTATCTACCATATTTCTATTAGAAGTACTTTCACATATCAGTCAGTTTTATTACTACATTCCGCAGAAAATCTCGTACGAATGAGTGTGTAAGTACAGCTTCTTCTGCAAGACAAATCACATTCCTCCCCTTATTTTCTGAATGATTTCATCTCTACCGCCTAAATTGGCTAGATTATTCAGAATTGCATTCACCTTCGTTGTGTGGAAAGCACTCAAAATTTTTTTCTGAATGATTTGCTAAAGCCAGTTTTGATAACATATGTCAGTTTCCAGAGGGGAATTTATTTTTGCCAACCTCTACAATATCTTGTATTAAAACTACTTTCCTTTTTACTCCTCCAATTGGCTCGCGTTTCACAGCATTTCGTGCGTTTGACAAATTGTTAAAATTTGGTTTCTCCTGAAGTTATATTTCACCTCTGCATTCCTGATGAGCTCTTATTGTCTACTAACAGTAGCATTATAGCCCGCATCATACTCAAAAATTATTATATTGCTTTCGAAGGAGCTTTCATTGAGTAAATGTAACTCCTTGGAGAATTCTCTACGAACTCGAGCGTCTCTGCTGTTCTTCATTTTGAACAATTCTTTAAAATTTTCACACTATATGCTACTCACCTGTTTTTTCTTTCTGACTTTAAACCCGCTTTAAATTAAGCACTTATTTTTATATGAAGCACAGCGCATGTTGCACGTTTCTTCTTGAATACTGACCAAGCATCGGTCACACATTCCAAATGTAAATATGGTTGAAATAGATTTAAACTTGCGTAAATAGGGTCATTAGTCCCATTTGAAATGCGGGAAATCGAAAAAGTTTGAATTACTGCTGAGGTTAAAAATTAAAGGCCTGAGTGACCATCCTCTTAAGGTAAAGAATTGGATATTTTAAAATTTTGTCACTTGTGTGCTTGCAGATGAGACTCACTTACGTCAAGGGGATTGTCATTTTTCAAATAATTAATCAAAGACCTGTGTATTCACCGTCTTGTGTGTAGTAACTGACTTAGGATTCCGTTAGGTGAAGAGCACAAAGTCTGACAGTCTCAAAAGCTTTTTTCACCCTTGTACAGATTTCAGTTTCCTCTAAACGCAGCGTATATTTAGAGTATATTTAGGAGAAAAGTTGACAATATACCTTTCTCAACTTTTGACGTATATTTACCTGTTTATTGAGCAAAATTTAATATTTTTTTTCTATAACTTTCGGTATTTCGTTGTACAGCTACGTCGTTACTCAAATGATTAAATCAGCTAATACTATGGTTTTCGATAGAAACGATCAAGATGCATTCGAGCATGACTTCAAGCATTCCAGACTTCTTCACAAACATTATTAAGTAATGTATAGAAAAGAATAACTACATTCATGTTATAAACTCTTTAATTTACGAAAAGTAGACAACTTCTAACAACTAATTCTTCAAAATCCCTGTGATATATTTGAAGATATTTGGAATTTTGTTGAACGTGAATATAAACAAAACAAATGAAGAGATTTTTTCCTTTGTTTTACATTTCCAGAATGCTACCTCAGCAAAGATCTACATTTAAAAGAGTAATTTATTCTCAGTATAAGCAGCTGAGCAAGTCTAATGCCTCTGTACTATTAAGACAACTGTCTATGACAATGTTCACTTCTTAAGGCATTTTGTTCTTAAATCCTTGTACATAAATAATTCTCTTTTTCTTTCCAATGTATAATAACTGTGCAGTTAAAAATAAATTCATACAAATATTTCAGTCTGTTATGTATCATTAATAACTTCAATTGCAGTTTATCAAAGATGTGCCTCGGTGGCATAGCGGTTAGGTCGCTCGCCAACCATGCACATGGTACGGGGTTCGATCCTCGGCCAACGCACTCCTTTACCTCGCTAAGCCAGAAATAATGCTGGTAAAGAGGAAACGTTGGGCATGAGGCTAGCAACCTCATCCTGTAAAATAAACACTGCTACAGAAACTTCAAGCCTCTAGCTTGAAGCTCTATGTTCCATTGGGGAACGTGAAGGAAAAAAAGATGTCAGTTAAAACCTTAATATTGTTTTAATACTAATTGTTTGACTGTTAATGACGCAAAACTGTACAAGATGTTTCTGAAAGTCCGCTTTCAGAAAGAAATCATTATGACGCGGTAAACACTGACCTACTAAAGAGGACAGAAAAAAATGTAGTTTTTGTTGTTGTTTTGTTTACTTTTTGACAGCATTTACTGCATATTTTCAAATGTTATAATTGTAGCTATTGCCAACAGTTTTGAAATTCAAATAAGCTGAGATTAATTCATTGATATACTTTTATTCATTGGAATTATTTTCCCTATTTTCAGTTGGAAACAATTTTAATAATAAAATGCATGAAGTGACTAAATGACTTCATAGAATTTATGGAAGACAATAACTTTCGAAGGGGAATTCATCTTTTTTTTCTAACGTGACATTGAGACAATAGAGTGAATGGAATTAGAAGAGTCATTTAAGAAATTGGAAATATATGTACATCGAGTGAATTAAATTAGGAAAGGAAAATGAAACAATACAAAAAGTCGTATACATGAAGGAAATCTATAGTTTTGTGACGCAATTTGTTAGTCCTAACAAGCGAAAGATCAGCCGACATCATGTAGCAAAGTTTTGAAAGGAGATAAAAGGAATAATAAAGAGCATATGATGCGAACATCATAAAAGTTTTCTCAGAACTCTGTCATTAGCGAAGCGAAAGAAGGAGAGTTTGTCGTGTGGGAAAACAAGTCACTGTTTGTTTTTGAACATACAATTTAGGTTTTAAGTATTCACTATCTGCTGCTGTAAGAGAATGTGACGAAATATTTTAAGACGTTAAATTCGTGTACCCTGCATTTTGGATTACAGATAGTCACATTTCCCAAAAGGTTGCATGTGCCAGCTAAAAATGAACGAAGGGTTTTTGTGTCCCTTCATGATATGTGCTTTTAAAATAAATGTAAAAAATGGGTAAAAACAGACAAGAAAAACGTGAAAGAAAGATCCGGCGATCGGAAAATATTTCACTGAGTAGTTTTTGCATCTAAGGAAAGTTAAATGTTGTCTGTTAAAACTCCATCAATATAAACATTTTGTGTATTTTCATTTCAAAATTATCTAAAGCTAAGTTCGGCTGACAGGAGTGGTTAACTGAGCAATCCTAATTTTTAGAGGATGGTGTTACCACTTTTTGCCAGACAGAATTAGGCTGGGTAGGAATTTGAACTCATTAAACGCTAGTCAAAATTGGAATAATTAAACCAATAGACCATACTTACACAAAGCTGAAACAGTATGACAAAGTACAATTTTTGTCTATCTGTGTGTTTTCAATATAGAACTTTGCACCGATGTGCAGCAGTTCAAATCGACACGTTCCCTCTTTGTAGCACACAAAGCAAGAGAAGAAGGTAGGAGAAATGGAAAATAGAGACAGTAAACAGAGGTGTGAGACAAAGGAATAGCAATAACGAAGAACAATATAGTTTCGTTGGCTAAGTCACAAGGAGTGGATACATCTGCGCTGTTGAGAACGATCACTTCGAGCCGCATCACCAATTGTCTCCAGCCGTCATTGATTTTTACCGTCTCGAGGACCTCAACGAGGAGGTCTACACCTTCCGACGTGGCTTAAAATATCTGTTGTGGTTGTATATAGTGTAGTATAGTATATATAAATATAATAGTAGCATATATTAATTTTCCATCGAAATAATTCTGCTAGAAATAATTGATTTTATATATCATTTCGACTGGTTCATACACATGAATGGACTTTTTATTAGCCCTTTAGCTTATTTATTGTCTGTTAAATCTCTTCACACTATGCGGTATTTTAGTATTCATCTATTTTGTGACTACAAATGAAGTTAGATTCAACATCTAACTGTCTACAAACTATTCACTGTTTTACAATTTATAAACTCGACTTTAAAAAAATTGTATTATTGTTAACTTTAACAACCTGAAGTAATTGGGCACATGGATATGCCTGATAAAAAATATCTTAATTCTGATTCTAAAATGTTCAAAAAGTGAAAAGTTCCTCATTGTTTATACACCATGGTGAGTCGTCATTCTGATAAAATTTCAAGGCAAACTATGCTGACATCACAAATTCTGCCTTCTTCACACTGTGCAAACTTTTGAAAGACAGTATTATTATTTTCTGCAAAGAAAGTTTCTGTGGATGTAAGCTGTCAAAAATGGGACAGTTCAATTTTTAATTACAGTGACTGTGCATTAAAGACTAATTTAACTTATTGGAAATTTGAAACTTATTTTAAAACGATCTTAATTATAGATATAAATTTTGTTCAGGACTCTGAATGAGTTATGCAGTGGGTTACATGTTTCATTGTTTTGTTTCAAATGAAGTAATTCAGTTGAGTCTTCTTATTTCATTTAAGTACATTTTTAGGTATTTGACAACTCGGATTTTTGCAATTGCTTATTACTATTGTTATTTATTTTGTTGGGTTTTTAGTGGAACATAGGAATTCAACTGCACATCTCTGTTGCATTCAGATCCTTAACATGACTTGGACTCAGACCCAAGACTACTTATAGGCTTTCTTCCTCTTTACTTGACCTCCTTCTCGTCAGTTTCTGACCCCACATTTTCGCCTCCCGATAAGATTCCATTCGATGGACCAGAGCATGATGTCGCGACATGGAGACGTCTATCTTCACTTCCTTCATACTAGTTAAACAAGACGCTGTTCACTGGATTTTCGCCAACTTCCTTGTTGCTTACCCTCAATAAAGGTAGTTAGTTGTCGGTAAATGTCTGCAACCTCTTGGTAGTGCTTTTGGTGATAAGGGTGCCGAATCTCCGAAAAATGTAGAAGCACCGACTAGGTATTCACGGTAAATATCCGGACGTTTTAACCCTCAATAAATGCTGTAGAACTTCCCACTGATTCCAGAGTAATGAATCTCAGTTCCTCTCTTCTGTTCCTAAATGGCTCTGATATCATCATGCTTGGCTTCAGTGTTTTGCCTTTTGTTGTTACAAGGTAAATGAAGGAGCTGACTTCCTTTGGACTTCTCCCAGTGAAGATTAGTGCTTGTTGCTGGATGAGCAACTTTATCTCCTCTACCTTCTCTGCGTTCACCTGAAATCCCATTTTTATTGGCACTTCTCAACTTGTTAGTCTTAACTTGTACATCTACAAGTTTGTGGTTGTTAATAACACAATCAAAATAATAAGCTGTATGCTTCATCTGAGAAAGTACTCGGTAAAAACTGGAGTTTCACAAAAATTTACTTTAAAATCGTTAATGTTCTTGTGATCCAGTCTTGCCTAAATCAGATAAACTGTTCATGAATAAATCATTTCATCCATTCCTGCTTTACAGAGTTAAATACAAAAAGTTTGAATGTACCATGTGGTCTAAAATTCACCCTTGCAGGATTAATTAAAAAAATACTTCGGGTCCTTATATGACGAGAAGAATACTGTTGTTGCGAGTTTTTGATATGAGTTGACAAGATCGCCATTCATAATAATTCTGCTACAATGGACCGATACTGGAAGGCTATAAGTAACTCATCTATAGAGCGAAACTATACTGCCCCCTCCTTCACAACCCACGCAAATAAAGATATGAGAAAAACCATCCCAAGCCAGTGAAACCATCGAATTTCATCATAAAGAATAGAAAAGTACAGGATATATATGTATTATCACCAAACAAAGTTAGGCAAATAAATAAAGAATCTAACTGGATGCAGAACTTCCAGCTTCAGTGTTCTCCAATCTCATTATAATGATAATTTGTCTCGGTCTGACGGTTTAAAATTGTTCAGACCAGTTTTGCATGTCTGGAGCCATTTTCGTAAACTAGTTTTAAAGTTAGGCAAAATCAGGGTTTAATGAAAGGTCCTCTGTTGAATTGTAATTCATTGATATAATTTTTGATTGAATGTTAGTGATACTTTCAGTGCTCAATCTTGTCAATTTCACTATATAAATGAAATACATTTTTATAGTTCAGTTCATGCACTTTAGGTTGCAATATCATGGGTAGTATCCATAACAAAACGTTTTGAATAGGAAGTTTCGCCACGATAAGATTACTCTGCGGTATATAGATAGTGGAGAAAAATTTCAATAAAAAAGAAAGCCAATTACTTCAGATACCTTTGACATTTTCTTTTTATTCTTCTCTGAATTGATATACACAAGAGAGAGTAAAGGAAAAGCATACCCCTAAGCTGGAGAAGGAATATGACATTCTGACAGCGTGTGAGAGTGAGGAATAATGAAAAGAATAAAATTAAAGTTAGCAATTATTCAAAATGTTGCCGTTTTAGAAAACACTATTTGTCGAAACTCACTGAGGAAAGAATTATGAATTAGTGAAATAAAATCAGTAGGAAGAACTATACTTGGAAATTTCATATACCGTAAGAAAGAACTTATATTTATTCTTATACATGTTCACATATCATCTTAAATTAATACAATCTGAAGCAATACAATCTAAAGTAAACAAAAAATGGCATGACATTTCCTAGCAGAACACCCCGTCTTTTTCACTCAAGTAAGTCAGTGATTTTCCTCAGCATCGGCATGCCCAGTTAACTGTAAACAAAATATTTACTTTAAATCAACCCTTTACTTACCATTTTAGTTTCATTAGAAAGATTTTTTTATGTATTTAAAACTATTTGAAAGGGTAAACTGTCAACATAAACTGTGTAAATAAGAAAAAAATCTGTCAC